GACCCTCAGAAGCAAAATGTGCCCAAGAGATTGTACATTGCTAAATCGCTCAAAATACTTGTCCTAGATTATTCATTTCAAGAATACCCTTTTAAGCTCGTATTTTATATTTAATCATACATTATCTCTATCGAACTTTTTATTGTTGAAAATTTTGTGCGTTGTATAAATTACTTTTGGTACAATTGGGGGGATGAATAGGGCGGGACAAGGTGCCGCACATAGTTACGTGGGGGCCCGGGGAGGCAAAATCTGTCAAACGAGTCAAAGATGAGATACAAAATGGGGGGTGTGGGGATGGGGAATACCGATCCCTTGCCCACAATCATGTCGCTAATTTCGATATCGTCTTTTCTAATATATTCTTATCGAGAAATTAAATTGCTGCCGTTGAATGGGGAAAGAAACAGACAGATTTTAGCCGTGTTGATTTTTAGAAACTTTTTTAATTCATTTTCTTCCCCGCAACGGCCCCATTTGTTACGATGACGTCGCAAAACGACAAGGCGCTGCCACGTCACCGAAAGGAGAACGCAAAAAAAAAAAAATCAAGTGGGGACTCAACAGTATACGTCACGCGGGGGTGGGCCCCACCCCGGGTCCTGGTCACCGCCACCTGTCCACCGGCTCCCAGTCTGCACTCCAGCTCGGCCGACTCCCATCTGTCTCGAGCATTTATTACGTGCACTGAGCACATGTGATCTCTACTCATGCAAACCGTTGGATTAGTTGAATTCCGCGTGGGGCTCACTTCATCTGACGGTGAAAGTACAGAGGGCTCACGCGTAACGGATCCATCGAAACATTCTCTTGCCTCTGTCTGCTAGCATTTTTTTCTTTTTTTTTTGACTCCTTCCAAGATCATTAAACCATAGTTATCCAGTATCTTAGGATGTGATTTGATTCAAAATTCAAAACGACACGTATCTGTTAGGCAAATGTATGGAATAATGAACAGTAAACGTATCTATCGATTCACCGTCATATCTACCGACTTGACGCGTATCTATTGATTTTAAGGCAAAATCATAAATTTCATATCAAGTACACAGTCCGACAAAAAAAAAAATAGGTACGACACTAACGCGCTCTCTTCGAGTTTAAGTGTTATGGCTTTTATGAAGAATAGTTTTCTGTACGATATTTTGTGTTTTGCTAATTTGCTCAACATGTACTCCATATTAATGCATCTTTTCAGTCGATTGTGAATTTCAATCAAAACATGTTATTTTGCATTTTTTTTTCTACTTACTTTTCTATGTTTTTATGTTGAGAAAAGCTCACTTTAGTTATTTTAGCGTATCTTGCCATTCAATTTTATCCTCGATTTACTACTCATGAATTTGAGATTTCAATTCGCGATCCATACATGCTGATTACCAAAAAAATAACGAACTTTTGATTATTAGTCGATGAAAGCCGAGTTTGGTCATTTACGAACATAATTATTAGTGACTTGAAAAGAATCAACAACTCGCCAGTGAAGTCATTGATGACACACAACGTGAAGTTGTCAACGAGAACCTCGAAATTGATTAACAAAGTCATCGATAGCGACGGCAAGTAATCAATACGAGGATAACCATTGGGTAGTTATTTTTATTGCCGCTATTTTAGTATTGTTGTGACTTCTTATAAATAAGTGTTGCGAGGTAACAGGAGACCGTGAAATAAATTCTCGTGGATAATATAGCTTCTTGTAACTATGAGGAAGTAATTTATTTATTTGAATTTAGCAACCGTTGTATGTACCCGTATGTAAAGAGTTATAAATACCCCAAGTGTGTTCATTGCGGATCCCCGAACAAACAACAAAAACCTGTTGTCTTCCAATTTTTTTTCCAATTCCTGTACCTTAGCTGCAGTTTCCAAATATTTTGTTGTCGATTAAATTTTGACGTGTATCTTATTGCTTTCAGATCTTCGCCGTTGATTAAATTCCGATGTGGTATCCTTATGTCATCACATCACACTTTGTCATCGATTAAATTTCGTTGAAGCATATCTGTTCCTTGAACTCCATTGATAAAACTACTGTCCAAAATTGCCATAAGATCCCGTCTCTTCTTAATAAAACTGAAGAACGAATTATGGTGAAAGATATTTCATTGTCGATCAAATTCCGACGACACACAATCTCACCTTAACAATAATGATTTTATACAAATTTGTTATTAGTTTATATACGATATTTTATTAGGGCCTTATGAAGGGTGCCCTCAAATAAAGGTGATCATTAGGCAGTTCGAGTTAAAGCTCGAATATCGGGCTTAATGTATTGCCCAAAACCACCCTTATTATAGTAATTTGATAGGAGTTTTCAAGCGAGGCTTAGCCAAAGATAGGCGGCACGGACTTTATCATTCGACTTTTTGCCCAAACTTACTTATTTACCTTGTCGGCCTAGACACTTACCTATCCGTTGATCACCTCTACTCTTGGCACTAGTCCACCATAATGCATAAAGAAATGTTTTTTATTTTTAATGCAATGATTATCCATCGCATGAGAAAAATAATGCATTCAAAATGATGAGTTTTTTTTTTTCTATAACAAAATGAATCTCATTTATACATCGTAATTGATTTAAACTAGATTCGGCAAATGGTTAAATGCTTGGTTTGGATGCAAGGAAGCAGTAAATGGAATGTCTCAAACCATTCAAATCGTAGCGTCTCCCCTAGGAGCCGAAGTTAAAATTTCGTATCCCTATAAACAAGATAAGGAAAAGACTCGTCCCGTCGATGTAATTGAGTCGGTCGGCACAACTCGATGCTCGAATGCGATTTGAACATTCGAAACTCGACATTCAACTTGTATTCAATGAACTTGATTGCTCAAGCTCGAGTTTAAACTCGAATAAGTATTCAATGAATTCGAGCTTAATTCAATTCAATTAGTCGATAGATCTTAGTCGAAACCCGAATCGACCAACCTCCCCAGTCACTTTTAAAATACACTATAACTAAAAATTTAATAACTTGTGGTATTTGGTTATATTTATTCGGGATAATGACATAATCAGTCCCTGAACTTTGGTCCAATATGCAATGTGATTCATGAACTTTTAATTTGTTTAATGTAGTCTTTGAATTTTAGCCTAATGTTTAATGTGGTTGTTGAACGCTTGTCTTGGATGTAAGGAAGCATTAAACGGAACGTCTCAAACCATTGAAATCATAGCGTCTCCCCTTGGAGCCAAAGTTAAAATTATGTATCCTTATAAACAAGATAAGGAAAAGACTCATCCCCTTTTCGTCGATGTAATTGAGTCGGTCAGCACGGTTCAATGCTCGACCGTGATTTGAACATTCGAAACTTAACATTTAGCTCGTATTCAATGAACTTGATTTCTAAAGCCCAAGTTTTAACTCGAATGAGTATTCAATGAGTTCAAGCTTGATTCGATTCAATCAGTCGATACATTTTAGTCAAAACTCGAATCGACTGACCTCCCCCTTCAATTTTAAAAATACACTATAATTAAAAAAATAATAACTTATGGCATTTGGTTATATTTATTTGGGATAATGACATAATAAATTTATGAATTTTGGTCCAATGTGTAATGCGGTCCCTGAACTTTTAATTTGTTCAATGTAGTCCTTTAATTTTTGTATAATGTTCAATGTTGTCCTCAGACTGTTTGAAAATGTTATTGAACAAATTCAAGGACTATATTGAGGACAACATTAAACATTATGCTAAAATTCAAGGACTATATTGAACAAATTAAAAGTTCAGGGACCACATTGCATATTGGGTTAAAGTTCAAGGACGATATTGAATAAATTAAAAGTTTACGGATCACATTGTATATTGGTTCAGAGTTCAGGGATTGTTTGCATTATTTTTCTAAGGGTTAATACCATAAAAAACCCTAAACTGGTACACTTGTGACACATTTACCCAAAACTATTTTTTTGACCATAAAAAACCCCAAACTGGTACACCTGTGATAATTTTACCCTGAACTATTTTTTTGACCACAAAAAACTTCAAACTGGTACACCTGTGACAATTTTACCCTAAACTTACCACAAAAAACCCCAAACTGGTACATATGCGACAATTTTACCATGAATTAAAATTTTAATATTATTTTTTATTTTTTTCGAATTTTTATTTATTTTTTATTCTTTTTTTTTTTTTTTTTTTTTTCATCTTCAGACCTTGGCCGGTCGCCGGTCCGGCGATCGGCCAGAGGCAGAAGCCAGCGAGGGCCGCCCTTGCCAGCGTCGGGCGAGGGCGACCCTCTCCCGACGCAGGCGAGGGTCGCCCTCGCCGGATCTGGCGAGGGTCGCCCTTGCCCTGGGCAGGAGAGGACGGCCCTCGCCCAACGCAGCGAGGCGCCGCCCGACGCAAGGCGAGGGTCACCCTCGCCAGATCCGGCGTCGGGCGAGGGCGGCCCTCGCCGGCTTCCGCCTCTGGCCGGTCGCCGGACCGGCGACCGGCCAGAGGTTGAAGGTGAAGGAAAAAAAAAAGAAAAGAAAAGAAAAAGAAAAAGAAAAATTCAAAAAATAAAAAATAATATTAAAAATTAGTTCGGGAGTAAAATTGTCAGCATCATATCTTGATTATATATTTTTGGTATGTTTGGGTAAAATTATCGTGAGTATCTTCGATTGGATTTTATGATAAAAAAAAATAGTTTGGGGTAAATATGTCACAAGTGTACCAATTTAGGGTTTTTCGTGGTATTAACCCTTTTTCTAATTTATCAAAGCGTGGATGTCTAAAGACAATAACTCAAAAAAGGAGAAGAAAACAATGAAATCAGAATTTGCCGTTCGAACTTGAACAGTTCCTTGGACTCAGCTCTCTCTCTCTCTCTCTAAACGTTCAATGTTTTGACCGTATTAACCTCCCACGCGTGAAGGTCGGTGTCGGTGTAGAGAGAGAGAGAGAGAGAGAGAGAGAGACGACCATTTCTTCTGTATCATTCACCGCTACCCTCCATCCTTCTTCCTCCTCCACCCACTATATATCTCCACCTCCCTCCCCTAGCATCCCTCCCCATCACACCTCGCCAAGTCCCTCCTCCTCCTCCATTTCTGCTCTGCACAGAGCATCAAAACAACCCAACCTTCCTTCCTTCCTTCCCACCCTCCTCCTCTTCCTCTGCTCCTTCCCCCTTACGAGGAAGAAGGTGGGTCCGAGAGATTGCTAGCGGTAGCCTCGTTAAGAAAAACATTCGATACCCACCAACGGCGGCGAACGAAGGAAGCGGAAGATATTAACTTTGACGGCGATTAACTTGACTTTCCCTCGATTCGGTGTCTTGGGTCTCTCCGCCAGATCTGGAGTTGAAGCCATGGCGACGGAGGTGTTGCGGCCTCGGGACTGCCTGATCCAGAGGATCCGGGTATCGCCGGCGTCCTTCCCTCGCCGGAAGGCCTGCAACTATGGGAACTCGTATTCTAACCCCAGCAGATCTAGCGCTAGGCCTAACCGGAAGCAGATCCATCAGCAGCAGCAGCCGGCGGCGAAGCCGGAGGTCCAGCGGAAGCGGTTGGTGCCCGCGCAGCCGGAGCCGTCGACCTCCTTCTCGAGGTCCAGCTCCGACGACCTGAGGCAGGGGAGGTCGTCCTCCGGCCTCGTGATGGAGAAGGTCACGATCCTCCGGCGGGGCGAGTCGCTGGACTCGAAGATCAAGAGCCAGGTCTCGGAGGCGGCGGCGTCGTCGAGCGGCCTGGTCGTCTGCGACGGGACGCAGCGGCTGGGCCCCGACCCGGCGATGGTCCCTAAGCAGGTCCGGATGGTGGATCTCAGGTCTCCGGCGGCGGCGAGGAGGTGCGACGTGTACGCCGGGTCGGCGTTCGCGGTGTCGCCGGAGCCGAGCTCCCTCCCCCTCCCGTCGTTCTCGAAGAAGAAGCACGTCTCCTTCGACGACTCGGCGACCAGGGATCTCCGGAGGCTGCTGCGTCTCGACTGAGGAAAGGGTCTCGGACGGCGAAGAAGACCCGGTTCGCTAGATCCGGGCGCGTGCCCGGATCCGACTCTCTCTCTCCCTCTATCTCCTTCTACGTAGGTTCCATGTCTCGTCGCCGGAGCATTTTCTCGCGATATTTTGGAGGTCAGATCGCAGCCGCGAGTTTTTGAGAAGCGGGTGGGATGGATAGATCTCGATATCGGAGAAATTGACCGGGGGCGATTCAGTAAATTTGCAATCTTTCTTCTTCTTCCTCTTCTTCTGCTCTGTGATGTGAGATCTTGTTAGATCTGCATCTGTATCATCACATCTGTCTTGTGGGTGGGTCTTGTTGGGTAATCTTTATGTAATTTGGGGTTGATGGGTATGTTCTTAGGGTGTTGTAACTTGTAATGGAAGTGGGAAAAAAATTAAAATAAGGCAAAAAAAAAAAGATGGGGATTGAGTTTGAGTTGTAATTTGTTGGGGGAAACAGGTTGTTGGGTTAGGGGAGGGGAGGGTGTTTAAGGTTTTAATTTGGTGATTAGTGATCTCAAGTGTCTGTGCTGTCTTGTGAAAGAGAAAGAGGCCTGTATGTATGTATGGTCCCTTTGCTATGCTATGTAATTAAGGAAGGTAACTTTAGGGATTTGTTGGCCAACGTGACTCCTCCATGTTTGTCTTTCTTCTCTTGTGCTCCTGTTCTGGCCATTCCAAATGATTATGGTCCTGTGCCGCCCCTTTTTCTTGGTGCAAGTGTTGTTGATGGTGGAGAAATCTTGTGGTGGAGACGGTGAAAGGACTCTGAAAGATCACCGATCTTCTGAACTTTACTCATTGGGGGACAAAGAAAACAAGAGAAAAATGATGAAAAATGATGAATAATTCAATTCAATTCAATTGATGAGAGTCTTGGTTTCTATTCCTCTTGCTCCTCATAGGGGTGGGTGTGATATGAGGTCTTTCAGTCCTCTTGATGACATTCTTGGGCTCACCCTATGATCATATGGTTGTCCTTTGTTCACCCAATAATTCCAGTTTTAGTCTTTGCTCATAGGGGTGTGATATATGAGGTCTTTCAGTCCTCTGATTGTATTCTTGGGCTCACCCTATGATCATAAGGTCATCTTTTGTTCACCCAATAGTTACAGTTTTGAATGCCTGGTCTTTGATCCACCATGGATCTTCTCTTCCTCTGGCCAACTTTGATCTAATCTGCTGCCTGCCCTTTTGATGGCTTTAGGTACCCGGTCAATCGCCGGAGTAGGTCGGCTTTGGTTCGGTTCGGTAAGCGTTGGCTGGATTTTCGATTGAATGACAGAGATTAATATTCAAAAAAATAGAAGAAAAACGACATGCTTCGTGTGGGTTCTTGTGTCCTCAGAGTAGTTGTCTGTGGGCGTTGTTGTGTGGTTTCGTTGAAAAGGGCCAGTCAGGGTCGGACGTGGATGATCATATCTCGTGGTGGTGGGTGTCGCAATTGAATGCAAATTGCATTATTGCCCCTATTTTATATCTATAGATTTTTATAATTTTTAATAATATTTTCATTTTTTTTAATGCTTTTTTGGCAAATGGAATCCGAGGAGGAGGAGCCTCTGCGTTCGGATGGGGACAGCTGCAGACGCAATAAATAATTAATAATTGCAGAAAATTAAAGAGAATGGAGCGTTTGCAGCTCTTGTGATTTTTCCTTTTTTAAATTTTTAAATTTTTTTAAATTTTTTTTTGTTTGTATAGCCTTTTGGACCGGAAGGTCAATTCGGTCAATTCGGCGTACGTGATTTTTTCCGTGCTGTGCTGGTCCCCACCCGGCGCCGGTGAGAAAAAAAGCATCTTTCAATATTTATTGATTTTTTTTTAAAAATGTTTTTTTTGATTGAAACGAGGAGACGACGGGACTGACTTACTTTTTGCTTTTTCGTAACTTTTCCCAACGGTTGAAAATTGGGGATTTATTCTCGACCAAAAAAATAAATAAATTGGGGATTTATATGTTTGGACTTACATAAAGTGAAAAGCTGATTTTTCTTTTGTCATTTTCTTGACCGGAATTTAAAAAATAGTAATGAAATTTTAAGGATCGTGAAGAATAATTGTTAGGTGGATTTACACCTTAAATTCATATGAACCGTCGGGTTGCAAAAACATTTAAATTTATGACGTAAAATGTGAAATTATTTAAAGCGTGTAAAACGACGTTTAAAATCATAAATCCGCGAAATGAATTTTCAACATGTGAATCTTATGTTTTGTATATTTTTCATGTCCGGAAGGACATATTGTACTTTGTTAGATCCGTGTCTGGAGCCGCCGAAAGTAGTGGGTATATTTTGGGAATTGGGAAATTTACGTGTTTTGAGAGAACTATTTGCTTATTTACATTTCGAATCACCCGATAAATCTCAAGAATTTCACGAATTTTTTCATGTTAAATTTAAATGGTTTTACATCTTTCGGCATCTTTTTTTTTCACCTCTCGAATGATCCGCATTCATCTTAGAAAATTTATCAAAGTGAATCGATAGCAATTTTCTCAATCAATTAGTTAATTGAACGGCAGAGTCCAACGTTCCATAAAATATGCTTTTGATCAGTCCCCGTGTGTTATAGGCTTGAGCGTAATGGGCTTAACATAAAAATGATGTAGTAATGAAAGCCCAGGCCCATGTTCAAAATGGCCACGACTCATCCCACTTTCACTTGCTCTGCATCAATAGGTGCGTGTGAGCTTAAAAGGGAAAGGAATCCGGCAGACTAACACAAGAAAAGTAACGGGGAAGCAGGCTCGTTCATTGTGAAAGGAAAGAAGAGGGGAAAAGAGGGAAAAAAGAGAGAGAGAGAGAGAAATCATTGCACGTAGTTGATTCAGACACCTTGAGAAGCCGAATCAACTTCGAATTGCTACGCCTGGTAAGTATTTAAGCCTATCATTCGTTTGATCGGAGTAATTTCTTGAAGTTTGGTCTTAAATTTGGAGTTATGTGAAAGTTGAACCGTGAGGTTCGATTGAAGAGCCATTGAGCTTTAGATTTATGTGAAGATAAGGGCGCTGTGGAATTTGACAGAAATCGAGTTCGAAGTATGGTTTGATTTGAACGAATTTCGGAAGTTTGGCGTGCGAGTTACGTGTAATAGACAATACACGTGACGGAGAAAGATGGACGTTTGTTATAAATGAGTTTCTTCATTAGCGCGTAGGTGTCGTTTTATCGACGATTAAGAGTTAGTTGATTCGTTTGTTAGAATAGTGTTATTCGGTTTTTAATATTGTTTTTCGAATAATTAATAAGATTCCGAGTTCGTCGGTTCAAGTAACCATTGTAGCTTGGTTTTCAGCTTTCCCAGATAAGTGGTGCTATCTTTTCTTTGAGTTTGTAAACTCATATTTTGAAAGTAGTGTGGATTAGTTATATTATAAGTTAAGAAATGGCATTTTTTATTGCATAAAATTGGATGGAGCATTTATTATCGTTTTATTTATTTGAAATGGATAGTTATCTTTTGATTATGATTATGAGCCGATTGCCTGTAAATGGATTATGTGAAATCTTTTTGTGAAGTTACAAAAAGCTCTTAATTTTCTGTATGGTTTATGAAAGGTTATATGTATTGATTTATTAAATGCTTTATGAAATGCATTCTATTTGATAAATTGAGTTGTGAAATGTGATATGATTTGGTTTGTGAAACTGGTTATGAGATGAATTATGGTTTTGATTATGGGATTATTGGAGAATGAGGTTTTGGTCATGTCGCTATGATTAGAACCCATTGACGAGAAAGTATGCATACTGTTGTTAAGACATCTTTCTGGGCCGAACCTTTAGCTGATATAGGTGGTAGACCTAAGGGGGGTAAACTTACTATAGTTTGATATTGAGCATTAGATTAATCAATGAAATGGACCATTGACGTTTAACTTGATGAGATTGATCAATGTAATAGACTATAGATAAGTGAGTTAATGAGATTGATCCATGGACTAGACCTTTGAGATTTTTACTTTGATATTACTGATGATATGAGTATTTTTGATATGTATAAAGCGTTGTTGAAAAGATATAACTTGTTTTGACCTCGTACATATGCTATATTGTGGATTTGAATTAAATGAGTTTTGGTATGGTTTTGTAAATATGGACAGTTGGTGCTCGATCTGCTTAGAAGATATATATACTACTCACTGGGCTGTAGTTGCTCATACCATTCTTTCCCATTCTTTTTCAGGTCCCTCAGTTTGTACCAAGTAGGATGAGAGCGCTAATAGCGAGAAACTTTTGGTAGTTGAATTTTGGCTATGCGTTGGAGAAGTATTCATACGTTCTGTTTAATTATACAAACTCTAATATGTTTTGACTTTGAGGTTGGATTCTTCAAATGAAGAGAAGGATCACCGTGTCATTACCTTTATTCCTGTGCGATGCTTCAATCTTTACTTAACTCATGTGGTCGATGTGTACTTGAATATCCTAATCAACTCAAATCTTTCACACTTTGGATCTATAATCCTATGGACAAGTTATTCAATGTTGTTTTGACCGATTCAAACCTAGTAAAATAACAAATTCTAAAAGAAACAAGATAACTCATATTATGATGTTTAATGCTAGAAAAATTTCTGAGAAAAATGATTGTGGCCTTTGCACTTTGTGGATCCTTTACACCTATCACAGCACAGCCCAGCCCGAGCTTTTCTGAGTCCAACGAGGTGGGTCGACAGTCCAAATCGGGCTTAATCCATTTTGGGCTTGGCTTGTTAAATAAAAAAGCTCTCTCTCTGTTATTTTTTCTATGTACTGAATTCCAAGATCCAAATATCTTTAGATACCACGTCATTACCCTGATCGTGAAAAAAACTGTACAAGTTTCAGTCAAATCTTGTGCATCCCGACCTCAATTGATGGGCCTACACCGAGTTGCGAGGCCCGCATATATTAGTCAATTGGAAAGCTTATTTAAAGCCCAGATCGAATATGGACCAGTTTCATTTTCTGCCTCTAAATCGACTTCGGACTTTGACTTGCTAGAGCTCGTTGATTTCATGGAATTCACTTTACTAATTCTATTTTGCTACAGGGTTTGTGTGTGACTTTGGTTTTTAAGAGATCTGTGCGTGGCTTGTCGGCCGATTTGGGCTTTCTAGGCTAAAAACTGAAGCAGCCCAATATTGGACCGGTCTGAGCATCCCGGGCCGAAATAACATCTTCTGTCTAGTTCTTGCTTGAGGTACGATCTAGCGAACAACTGGAAAACGAAGTTTAGAGTTCGTTTATTTGAAAGAAAACTATTTTGTGGAAATTATTTTTTAGGTATTTGAATGACGGAAAGCTAATCGATTTATGGAAAACGTTTTCCATGGACTAAAAACAACAAACTTAGGTTGGGGGAAAAATAATTTCCCCTTATGACAAAATGGAAATCATTTTCTCTAAACCATAAAACAAATGAAAACTGATATGGAAAATAATTTTCTTTATCATAAAGTTTTCAGCGAAACAAACGCACCCTTAATATCACCAACAGCTCAACTTGTTGCCTTCGAGTGCTTATGGGAGTAAATATATCATTGGTCCCTAAAGACCAAATATGATGACATGGAAAAACAACCATAAATAAGCGGAAAAGAAAAAGAAATTCGATGGAAGGAGGCAAAGAAAG